ATGCGGAAGTGGCTGTGCCAGGCCCTGGTTCACCGCCCCGCTCCCAGGCCGGTCCCTAAGTTGGAGGAGCCAAGGCACAGGGCTGCCCGGGCAGATGGTCTGTAGTGGCCCCTCCAGTACTGCTGTACCCCTGTATTTCCACCACTGAGGCGGTCCAGGACAACATGCAAGTGCACTAGGGTCTGATAAATCCCTAAATATTCCTAGGCCCCCAGCTATTTAAAAATACCCTCTGGTTAAAGAGTTAACTGCCCTTTCTTTCTGGGTTTGTTTTTTTGTTGTTGATTTTTGTTTTTCCTTTTAAGTAGAAACCGGACCCCGGAAATATGGCTAGTTTGTGAACTACAAGACAGGAACACTTTCAGAAGCAAAGATTAGATTCTGCCTTCCTCCTAATTGTTACCTACCTGATTTGGCTCCATTCTTAGCTCCTTACATATGATTTTTTTTTTTTTTTTTTTTAGGAACCACTGTTTTGTTTTGTTTTTTGTTTGTAGTTTTGTGACACCATCTTAATTCCTCAACTTTTAGTTCAACTTGTCTTCACTGTGTCATCTATTGCAAGACCTCAAAGGTCTATGCTAGACCTCAAAGGACCAAGAAAGGCTGGGCTACCAACTCAGTTGGTAGAGTGATTGCCTAGCGAGGACAAAACCCTGTATTGGATTTCTAGCATCTCTTTAAATAAGAAAAGAGTGCTGGCTTGGCAGCACATATAATAAAAAAGAAAAGAAAGAAAAAAGAACCTTAAGAGTAATGCTTTTTCAGGAGAAAATGACAAGAAGAACAAAAATCTGTATAATTGCCTCTGCAAAGTGATTGCAATATATGTTTGGTTTAATCAACTAACTTAAGTGCTAGTCCTTGGAAAAACAAATACAAAGGTGACAAAGACACTGTAATGGGGATGATGACTAGAAAGCAGCTATAATTCAGTATTATAAACTTAATAATAAAAGCCTGTATTAGACCCAAAGGCAGCATACACAGGTAAAGGAGTGACTTCTTCTATGGGGTATGGGAAATGGAAGTCTTAAAAGATTTCATCTAGGAATGATGCCCATATACAGGGATATTTGAAGTATAAACAGGAATGTAAAGAAAAAAAAAAGAAATCCCATGAAATAAATGGGTTAATGTTAATGATAAAAAATAAAGAGCAAAATGAAAAGAGGTGCAGAATTTCCTGAGTTTCAAATTGTCCACAAAAAGCGCTGAAAGATGGGAAGAAAGGATGGAGAATTCCTTTTACTCAAATCATACTCATTATACACATAAAAATAATGACCCTCCATAATTCTTATTCTAGGAAAGACCATTGTTATCATATTGGTGTGTGTTCTTCCAGGCTATGTCTTTATAACTGACTTTTTCCTTTGGAGATGATGGAGATTGAATCCAAGGCCTCGAGCATGCTAAATATGTGCTCTACTACCCTAGGCCTCCTGCCCTGACATTGTTTCCATAGAAATGGAATCTTTTGGCAATGGCATAGGAAAGTGGTTGAATGTGCTGGCTTTGGCTATCTGGTGTTACCCAGGCTGGAATGTAAGGCCCACCCCTTCCTAGTTCTAACATTTTGGGAAATTTTTGTTTGCTTTGCTTCTCCCTCTGCAAAATAGGGCTGTATCTGAACCCACTGTCAATTGAGACTTTAAATGTGAGAGAACTTTTTGAGCATAGGAAAGAACTCATCAAGTTACTTGTGTTTTAATTTATTATGGCTATAAGTTTTAAGCCTAGTGTTATTAAACATTTAACTGCATTTCTCAAATATATTTATAAATCTATCAACGTTATGTTAAAATAAAAACTTTCACTTATTTTTTGATTAATGCTTAGTGTGCTTTTTGAGATATTCAATTTCACATTTATATACTGTAAATGTAATGAAAATTTCTTAAGCATTGCACATTAAAGTCACAGAAGCATACAGATCAAACAAATTAAATTTCCTTCATAGTTAACATTGTTTGTAAGCTTCATTTATTAAATTTTCTTGAGATTCACGCATTACTGTGTCTGTTGGAGATACAGTAGCCCTAACACAGCCCTAACAAGGCAGATTATATTCTATAAACTACCTTGGCCCATTCTCAGCCCAGTACTGATCACTTAGCTTCTTCCTATAGGAGACCTGAAGAGAACTAAAACAGCTTTAGTTTGGCATGTGGATGTGTTAGTTTTTCATTGCTGTGACAAAATACTTTAGATAATCAATTTAACAGATGAAAAGGGTTTTTTGACTCACAGTTTTAGAGGTTTCAGTCTACATCTTTCTCTCTCTCTCTCTTTTTTTTTTTTTTTTTTTTTTTTGTTTTTTTTTTTTTTTTTTTTTTTTTTTTTTTGGTATTTTTGAGACAGGGTTTCCCTATGTAGTCCAGTCTGGCCTCGAAGTCACGATGGTCCTTCTGTCTAGCATCCTGAGTGGTGGGATTACAGGTATGCACCACCATGCCCAGCCGTCTATAGCTTCTTGACCGTTGCTTACTAAACATCTTGGTGCAGCATGTTGAGGACTAGGTCTGTCACCTCATGGCAGCTGAGAATGAAAGAGAAAAGGAGGAGCCAGGTGCAAGTCCTCATAACATCCTGCCTCTACCACCTCCCAACAGCATGGGCTGAGGAGCAAGCCTTTAACATGTGTATCATTAGGGGACATTCCTAGATTCATTTGGGGGTAATCACCCAGACTGCTGAGCTTTAAATTCTGGCTATACTGCTGATTGTCACATTGTGTGACTCTGGGTAGTCATATGACTCTGTGTCTCTGTTTCATCAGAGTTGTGAGCTTTCTATGACTTAGTGCCTGGCAGACACTTTTAAGCCATTGTAGCTGGGAGTCCAGGTACCTAACTGACACCCTTTCAGTGCTCAGGAAGACTCTAACAGAAATACTCCTATTGGACAGATCCTGTGGATTTCAATTAAAAATCAGTCTAAAATGTCATATTAACATCTAACATTTTAGGCCAGGTGTGGCACACACCTGTAATTCCAGCACTTGGTAGGCTAAGGCAGAAGGATCACTGCGAGTTTGAGACCAGCCTAGGCTACATAGTGAGTTCCAGGTCAGTCTCAACTACATAGTGAGACTCTGTCTCAAAAAAACAAAACAAAACAAAACAATTTAACATTTTAAATATAGATGCATATGCATATAGAAGTAGCCCACTGAGACAAAAATGTATTACACTTGGTATATATAACTAACACAAAGTATTGTAACTAATACAAAGTAATTTTAAATTATATTAGTTTCTTCATTGTGGTCATTTGGGGTTGTATTCATTCTCCAATGGAGGGGAAGAGATTTGTTTCAGGACTATTAATCTGATGTTAGATAATAGAGTTGTCAGTTAAGGATTTGAGACTGTGGCTGGATTTAAGGGTCTTGGTCAATGATTCATAATGGAGGTGGAAGGGGAAAGGAGGGGTGTGTGTCTCCCTGGGAATTCCACCTGTGCTGCTGGCTAACAAGCTGTACCCTTGTAACAGCAGGGGTCTGCCTTCTATTTAGTGAAAGCTCAAAACATACAATTCAGCTGGGATTTATTTTCATAATCTGGGGCATTGCTATCCTAAAGGTAGGAATCCTACAGATTTTATCATTACCTCATTTTTATGGTAACTGCTTTCAATTTTTCTCTGCTTGTTACAAGAGGATAGAATTCTGCACCTCCCACTAGAGATGTTGGCTAATCTATTTGCTTATTTAAAATTAATTAAATTCTTCACCCCTTTATATTTTATTTTCTTGTCTAATAAACAGATTAGTAACATAGGATTGTGATGAGTTAAATGAAATTTCATTAATCACATGCACATTTGAAAAGTGATAAACATTGCCAAAAAACCCTCTAACTTGCCAATTTATATTTCCATCAATAGTGTAATAGAAAAGTGAAGAGGAACATGAATAGAATTTCTCACACAAGAGGATCATTCCAGGCAGCTAGAGTCACATAACCCAAGTTACTGACCTGCTTTGGGAAAATCATAGGTTGTATCTAGCACCATTATCCTCTGTAAATCAGGCATTTACTTGAACTGAATGTGGGTCAGGGACTTAGGGAAGTTAGAATCTGTAAGCTTTAGATTTATGAAAGTGAGGACCACACTGCAAATATGGTTTTGTGATCTGCTTTCATTTTTACACTTTCAGACAAGTTGTAAGCAGGTTTCACATCTGTAGACGTCTATATTGTTGATAATGGCAATAATAAATGAAACTACACTAATTTATATAACTGTCCTGATTAGTGAACATTTAGGTTGTTTGACAAAAACAATATATCCTTGTAGCTAGATCTTTGCTTGTATCTTTAATCATTTTCCTAGGGTAAATTCCCAGAAGTGGAACTACTGGTTCAACAGATACATAAGTTTTTAGACCTTGGGTTTGTATTTCAGGTTGCATTCCAGGAATTGTTCCAGTTTATATTGCCAGTAGCTGAGTGTGAGAAAAGATAGTGTGCTATTACTTTAAAAACTACCCTCCTGGTTGCAGAGGTTAAGACTTTGGTAATAGGTTCATTTTTTTCTTTTTATCTTTACTTGATTAATTGACCTTTGTGATGCTGAGTAGGGAACTCAGGGCTCTGTTACTGAGCTACAGCTCCCCTGTTTTAGAGTTGCTGTTTGAGATAGGGTCTTGCTGTGTAGTCCTGGCTGACACTGAACTCACTTGAACTCACTGTGTAGCCCAGGTTGACCTCAACCTGACAATCCTCCTGCCTCAGCCTCTCAAATGCTGGGATTACAGGTGTGCACAATCACACCTGGCTTCCAGCCCTATTTTCAAATACTGTATTTATTTTTTTCTGATTATGCAGATAAAATATGAATTGTAAACATTTAAAAGTTAAGAAATGTGTACTATAGAAAGTGAATGTTCCCATACTTTTCATTATTAGAGACAGTAGTTGAGTACTTATCTGTAAACATTGATTATCAGGCATATTGGGTATCAGCTTTGTCCTATGATTATAAGACCATACCTTAATACTCTACCTCTTGCTTTCTTCAATTAATAATACAGGGCTGGGGATTTAGCTCAGTGGTTCGGTGGCCTGTCTTGTAAGCACAAGGACCGGAGTTCAGTCCCCTGTACCAAAAAAAAAAAAATTAATAATACATCTTGGATACATTTCTACTCCAATATAATTAGAACTACCAGTATCTCATTTTTGTCTTTTTTCTTTTTCCCCTTTCTTCTCTGACTTTATTGCCCATTTGTTTTTCTTTCTTTCTGTTTTTTTTTTTTTTTTTTTTTTTTTTTTTTTTTTAGTTTTGGTGTTTTAAGACAGGGTCTCACTACATAGTTCAGGCTGGCCTTGAACTCATGGTACTCCTCCTGCCTCAGCCTCCTCCTGAGTGCTAGGGTTACAGGCAACCATTTATATTCTTAGCTCAGCTTTAAAACTGTATAATTTGTGTGCTCACTTTGGCAGCACATATACTAAAATTGTATAATTAATTGAGTGTGGTGGCACATGTCTATAATCCTAGCAGTTAGGAGGGTGAGGCAGGAGGATCACTGCAAGTTCAAGGCCAGCCTGGGCTATGTAGTGAGTTCAAAGCCAGCATGGACTACATAGCAAGATCCTGTCTCCTAAAAACCAAAATACATAAATAAAATTGTGTAATTGCATGTCTTGTGTTGACTATGTATATCTTACGTATATATTACCCTTTGAATACATTTATGGCAGATATTTTTGTCCAGTTTTTTTTTTTTTTTTTTTGCTTTTTGAGACAGGGTCTCACTATGTAGTTGATACTGACTTGGAACTCACTATGTACCCCAGGCTGGTTTTGAACTCACAGCAATCCTCCTGCCTCAGCCTCCTGAGTGCTGGGATTACAGGCATTTTTCACCATGCCTAACTTTTTGTCCAGTTCTTTTGTTCATTGTCTTTTCATGCTGCTTTTCTAGATTTTTTTTTTTTTCGGTACTGGGGATCAAACTCAGGACCTTGTACTTGCAAGGCAGGCACATTACCGCTGAGCTACACTCCCAGACCCTCTAGAATATTAGTATGCATTTTCAGCAGGTGCATTTATTTTCCTGGTTGTCTCTTAGCTACATCCAGTTTCCTTTGTCCCTATTCCCCTCCTGCTCCACTACCAGGGTTGCTGATAAAATTTAACAGGCCGCTGACCATATACCAGAATTTGCTGAATCTTTTAAAAAACATTACATTAATATATAATTTATCTTAATTACTGAAATTTTTGTTGGCCCTTTAAATTCTGTACCCAAACAAGTGCTTCACTTGCCTCAGCCAATTCCTCACCTAAGGCTCCAGAATTCTTTGTGTCTAAGTCTGTGCAAATTATGAAACTCTTGTGATGTCCAATTAGGTGAGGCATCCTAAAAAAGTAGCTTATCAAAAATGTGTCCAATGTCAACTAAGATACAGGTTTATGTGAATTTGATCATTGCTTAATATTCTTTTGTTTTGCTCTTATAAGATGGCTTGTCATCATCAAGCTCATCATCAGTGAAATGGTAATAATATTTAATGGCATTTTTTGGCATAATGAATGTATGTTAAAAATATGAAGTATACAGTAAAAAGAAGTTATATAATTATAAATGTTATTACTTTATCACTTTGGGGGGAGTAGATATTGATAATAATCATGATCAGGTACTTCCAAAAGTAAGCACTGCCTTGTATTTGTATAAACCATTTGCACTTATCAGATATGACAGCAGCAATTCTTTGCAAAAGAAACAAAAACCAGAAAAGTCTAGTAAATTCTCACTGGATATTGTTTAAATATGTTTGACTAAATTATCATTTCTATTTAAAAGATGCTTGCCCTGATTAAAGTGCAAAAGAATAGCTGTCCTTCAATTAAAACTCAGACACAGGATGCAAGTGTGAGGCCCTCGGTTCAATCCCCAGTACCATAAAAACTGCAACAATAGAAACCAGTCAGACTTGTACTGCTTTTTTTTTTTTTTTTTTTTTTTTTTTTTTTTTTTGTTTTTTTTTTTTTTTTTTTTTTTTTTTTTTTTTTGGCACCGAGGATGGAACTGAGGCCCTTTTGCTTGCAAAGCAGGCCACCTAACCACTGAGCTAAATCCCCAGCCCTTTTACTGCTTTTTGATAAGGAACTGCAGTCTGGGTGTGGTGGCGCACTCCTGTACTCCCAGTACTCAGGAGGCTGAGACAGGAGGATTACCATGGGTTTGAGGCTAGCTTGGGTTACACAGTGAGCTCAAGGCCAGTCTGAACTACATAGCAAGACCCTGTCTCAAAAAATCAAAACCAAAACCAAAAGCAAGCAAACAACCCCAACAAACTGCATTAGTTTCTTTTTCCTGCTATAATAAGTTACCATAAACTCTGTGACTTAAAAGTGCATAAATTTACTAACTTTCAAGTCTGAAGGTCAGAAATCCAAACATGACTCCTGGGGCTAAGGTTAAGTTTTTGATAGTGGGTTATATCCGTTTCTGGAAGCTTCAGGGATGAAGTCATTTTTGTGCTTCCTCCAGCTCCCAGAGGCTGCCCTGCATCCCTTGGTTTATGATCTCTTCCTCTGGCAATTTTCATTCTGACCTTGTCTCACACTGCCCTTGTTGTCATATCGCTCCCTCCTGTGGTCATATTGCTCCTGCCTTCATCTTTCATACAAAAGGACCCTTTTGATTAGAAGAGGCACACCTGTGTGAGTCAGGCTACTATTCCTAGCTCAAAACCTTAATTTTTTTTTTTTTTTTTTTTTTTTTGAGACAGGGTCTCACTATGTAGTTGAGCCTGACCTGGTACTCACTATGTAGCCCAGGCTGGTCTCAAACTCACAGCAATCCTCCTGCCTCAGCCTCCTGAGTGCTGGGATTACAGGCATGCACCACCACGCCCAGCTTCAAAACCTAAATTTAACTACACTTGCAAAATCCCTTTGGCTATGTAGGTAATCTCTTCATAGATTTCAGAAATTAGGACATGGACATCTTTTGGCAGCGATTATTGTACCCATCACAGTATTCTTGAAATTTCTCCTACTGGTAATGAAACTGTGTTAGTTACTTTTCTCTCATTGCTGAGACAAGATACCTGGCACCAAAAGTTAAAGGGTAAGGGGTTTATTTGGCTTACAGTTCATAGAAGTTTCAGTCCATAATCGGCTGACTCCAAGGCAGGGATGACAAACAGCCATGGCAGAAGAGAAACAACATGGCACCCACACAGTAGCAAAGGCAACAAGAGAGTTTAATGGCACCTTTCTGTTCCTTTTATCTTATTCAGACCACTGGGATTAGGGCAGTGCCAAACTAACACTCACATGTAGTAGTTCAGTAATCATGTGCCCAGAATCACATATTCCAGATTCACCTAGCTCTGAAAAAGAAAGTCCCACCTTATCCACTCAAGGCTTTGAGCGGACAGCTAAACACAAATCACAACGGAAACCAAAGCTGGTATTCTGCATCAGGAAAGAAACAGAAAGGTTTATTTTACTGTCTATGTATGTATGTAAATAAGTATTTATTGCGATGCCAATGACTGAACCCAAGGTCTTGGGCATGCTAGGTAAGTGCTTATTCCCCTATGTCATATATGTACAAAGGGGAAGTACTAGGTATTTTGGTCTAATCTATTATTTGTAATATTTGCTACTACTACAGCTCAACTATAGATATATATCTTCAGCTCTCCTTGTCTTTTATTTGTGTGTTTTGGTACTGGGGATCGAACTCAGGACCTTGCACTTGTGAGGCAGGTGACGGAGGCACTGAGCTAAAAATCCCCAACCCTCTCCTTGTCTTTTTAAAAGAATTTGGCAAATGCTAATATTGGAAGACAAATCCTTTGCTTATTTGTTTTCTTAGGTTTGGGTCTTTAAAAGATTCTGAACACCTCATATATGATGTGATAGGAAACTGATTTCTCATAAGGACTTAGCACCTATCCCAGTGCCTGGCATACATTAGATATTCATTGCTGGTTAGATTAATAACACAGATATTATTGTTCTTGTTATGAAAAAGTGCTCTGACACTATCAAAGCATATTATCCCATCTGCTTCACTTTTGGTTATTCCAGACAACTGAGATATTTAAGTGCTGACAAAGTTTTAGAGCCATAGTAGAACAGTAATAGTAGCAAATATAATAAAAAATAATAGAACATGCCAAAATACATAGCAATTCTGATTGTCCCCTTGCTGGCAAGCTATTGTTGTCACCTGAAATCTCAGGTGATGTAAGATGTACATATAGATGACTTATGTATATATGCAATATCATCTCTGCTATGTTCTGTCAGAACATAGCAATACTACTAAAGCTTCAAAACTAACCAACAAAGGGCCATGGATTTAGTTCAGTGGTGCCACTGCTTGCCTTGCAAGTGCAAGGACCTGAGTTTGATCCCTGGTACCCCCAAAAAAGAACACACACACACACACACACACACACACAAGCTGTCCTGATTAGCCAAAAGAGCTGATAAAAGGCTATTAAGACTTGTTTCACATGCTCAGATCCCATCCTTTGGTATATAGTTCTAGTAGTATTTACACTTGACATGTCTCTAATAAGCTTGCTTATATCACTTTCAGTTCTTGGCTGACTTGAGCAGAAAATTAGAAAGGCAAGAAGAAAAGCTCTAGGCAAGTGAATTGATAGAACCAAAAAGCCTCGAGGAAACTTAATATGACTCAATCATGTGCTATACTTACATGAAATAAAATTATAGTAAGCCTCTGACTTACGCATTAGTTCCATTGTTGGAAAACATTCGTGAGTTGGATTTGTTTGTAATCTGACAAAGTGACTCATACAGCATATCTGTGAATCTTATACAGTATATTGTGAAAGTTTGCAACTGGAATGTTCATTTGTCAGGAACTTACTGTACACTTAATCTGTACATTTAAGTAAAGAAAGAAAGATGGGAAAAGTGAGAACCAAGACCTGTCATGTAAAGGTACAGGATCCCAATGATGAATGTAACTGTACTGTATACCTAGAATGTACCAATAAACTCAATGAGACAAAAAAAAAGGGAAGATTGGAAATAAGAGGTGCATTAAGTAGAATGTATAATTCCCAAACATTTGGACAATCACCGCTTTTCTGGGCT